AGTAAGGAGAAGCTGTGCCCTTGCTGTGGTTCTCAAACAAGCTGGAGGAGATGAGTTGTTCTTGAAAACTTCTCCCAAATTCTCAATTTTGGTGTTTTAAATCCTCTCCCAAATTCTGGATTTCAGTGGCTCAAAATCCCTCCCAAATTCTGGTTAAAGACCTCTCCCAAATTCTGGATTTTGGTGATTCGAAACCGCTCCCAAATTCTGGGTTTTAGTGGTTAAAAATCTTTCTCAAATTCTCAATTTTGGCGGCTCAAACGGCGTCTCGGACTGATCCAGACCAAACTTCCAGCACAAAAATCGAGTTTATTCCAAAACAGCAGGGAGGTGACAGCAGGAGGTGACAGAGGTGACACCAGGGTGACACCAGGGTGGCATCAGGAGGTGACACAAAGGTGACATCAGGAGGTGGCTGCACTGACGGTGACACCAGAGTGACTCCAGGGTGACATCAAGAGGTGGCAGAGGTGACACAAAGGTGACATCAGGAGGTGGCCGCGCTGACGGTGGCCCAGGCCTTGCGCTCCACCACGGCGCAGATTTTGTCGGGGACTCCGCTGTCCCTGCAGGGGGGGGGGGTGACACTGAGCTCGGGTGACACCGAGGGTGACACCGAGGGTGGCACCGCACGGGGCGGGGGGACACGGGAGGGGACACAGGGGGGTGACAGAGGTGACAGAAGTGACACAGAGGTGGCAGAGGTGACACAGAAGGTGATAGGGAGGTTTCACAGGAGGTGGCAGAGGTGACACAGGGGGTGACACAGAAGTGACACAGAAGGTGACACAGGCAGCAAAAGTGACACAGGGGGGTGGCAGAGGTGACACAGGTGGCACAGGAGGTGACACAGGTGACATGGTGACAGAGGTGACACAGGAGGTGACAGGGAGGTGACACAGGTGACACGGAGGCGACAGAGCTGTCCCCACCTGAACTGCTGCAGCTTGTCCCGTGCCAGCTGCTGGCACTGAGGGGGCAGGAGGGGACACAGGTGACACGGGGGTGACAGAGGTGACAGGGAGGTGACACAGGTGACACAGAAGGTGACAGAGGTGACACAGGAGGTGACAGGGAGGTGACACAGGTGACACGGGGGTGACAGAGGTGACACAGAAGGTGACACAGGAGGTGACAGGAGGTGACAGAGGTGACACAGAAGGTGACAGAGGTGACAGGAGGTGACAGAGGTGACAGGGAGGTGACACGCCACCCCACCTGAAGCGCTGCAGTTTGTCCCGTGCCAGCCGCGCCAGCCGCTCCGCCCTGTCCCGTGCCAGCCGCTGCTGTCGCTGTCCCTCCTCCAGCTCCGCCTCTCTGTCGCGCAGCCGCTGTTGTCGCCTGTCGCCGATTTGTCGCCGCAGCTCCTCCGCGTGGTGGCGCTGCGACAGCTCCCGCTGCTCCTGCGCCACCCGCTCCTGTGCCAAGTGCTGCTGGTGGGCCCTGGGGACACGGGGACAGTGTCAC